CCCCCCCCAACTTTTTTGGCTCAGTTCTAGTTAGGTTTTCTGTTAATCTGTACAATATTCCAACTAAGTCCTAAGCGGTGTGAAATAGGTAAAATACATCTACCTAAATACATACCTAAATACACTGTTGAAGAAATATGGGATTTAGGTGCAATTTGCATGATTCTAGTGATGGGCTTATTTTCTATTTCTATACCCGTCATTCTAGCAGTGGATATATTCTGGGAGTGGGTACCTTTATTCAAAGTAATAAAAATATCAGTGATGTGCACATAGCAGTCAGACTAATGTTATTACTACGAGTTGATTATCCAGAGAATATTAAACAAAATATATAATGGAAGAATCCATTTAGGTAAAGTTTTCTCAGTCGCTGTGTTTTGTCTTATCTTTTAATTTATTTTTTTTAAAAGAAAAAATTTGTATGATTTGAATAGAAGAAAAAAGATGCACTTCTGTATTGGTTTTCTGTTTAATTTTGTTCTAACAGGCTGATAAGTAAACTTGACTACTTAAAGACAATTCCTATTGCAAGACAGATTTGTGGAAGAAAAGAGAAACCTCATTTTCTGTGGTTTTGGTGTGGCCCCATGGGACTGTAAGCTGGATGTATCTCTACTTGGAACAAGAGTTTTGTGGAAATTCTTGGTACATTTTACCTCGATACTTGATACAGTATTTTGATACCTTCTCAGAGGTATTTACACAAGGAGCCTAGGCACATCCTCATTTTGAGTTTTTAGCCAAAAAAACTCACAAGGATTGCATCTACTTTATTTGACTTGCCATCCCAAGTATTAACTGTTAGTGTGAGCAACTAATGTGCCTTTGAAATACCCCATTTAGAAATCTTTCATTCCTTTTTCGTCTTTGCTCCAGAGATCTGTGCAGTAATTTATGCTGCCATATAAGTAACTTCTTAGCACATGTAAGGTCTCACAACATACTGCCTTTCTTTTTTTGAAACTGAGATTTTGCAGAATCTAAATGTCATGTTGTCCGTCAGAACTTTATATGAACTGGGTATAATTCACAAATATGAAGTTCATATCTCAGGTGTTAGTGTTGGGAAATTAGAGTAATAAAATTTAGTGCTAGGTCTTATGGAAGGGGAAGGTAATATTTGTTTGTTTACAGAGTCATTAAGCAAGCTCATTTTTACCTACTATCATTTTCTCCTATGTTTAATTCACTCATACTCACAGGTACCAAGACATGTCCAAGTTGTCTGGACTCAAAGAAAAAGGGACATTGGCTATCCAGTCCTCTTCACATATCTAGGGTTCTTGAATGATGATGGCAAACGAGGTTCTGGATAGATCTTTCAGGCCTTTTGAGGATCAGCAATCGTTACGAGGTTTTTCTATGCCTCAGAATGTTTCAGTCTTTAGCCTCCATAGATCTTAGGCCATGTTGCTGCATATTGTCTGGTTTTCCTCATTTAAGTGTGTGCTTAAAATGTGGTCTGTTCTCTTCTTGGGTAACGGGAGGGGGAATGGTGTATGTGATACACTGCAACCTTGTCGCCATCCTTCTGATGTTAGGATGCAGGGTCCGATGAGTCATTTCTGCTGTGGTTTGATTTATCAGCGTGCAGACGTTTTGATCTCAATATAAACAGCATGTTCTGCTATTTCACTGCTGGGGAATTATATTCTGGGGATAGCGCTGTGAGACATGCAGACCGTCCTTTTCGCTCATTGTTCTGCTGCTTCTGCTGGTGCTTACAAAGACGTGTTTTCATTGAAACCACTCAATGTTTCTGTTACAAATACCTAAAAAGGTATAATCAGTAAAGTAACTTCCTGTCAGTTAGTAATTAAGATTTCACCAAGAAGGTTGTGATGACCATTGCTTCCAGGTTCTTAACAAGTTGTAGAGATGAGTAGAGTCATATAGTGTGACATAAGTCTAATCTATAGCTGTGTCTTTGTAATGTTTACATTTTTATAAATATAAATTTCCATGTGCATTTAATGCATTTGATGTAACATTTGAAGAAGGGTTTTGGTGACAGATTACCTTTCTTTTTCTGCCTGCCTCATGAAGCAGCAGCAGGCAGGGCTGCACAGGGATTGCTCTTTCATCCCATCATTTGTTTCCATTTAAATGCTGTAAAACCCAGTCGTAAAAACTGCTGGGTGAATGGCTTACTGGTCATTGCAAAATCTCCCTGCTTTACAGTGGAAGTGCTTTATAATACAGCTGTATACGACTGGACCCTTACTGCTGTGTTGCGGGAATGGAGTTCATTATACCCAAGAGGAGGAAAATGGTGTCATGTGTAAGCTAAATATTTGTGTTTAAGCTTGTAATGTGCAGGTGTTATTACAGCATGAGTGGCATGACAGACAGCTTTTTAATGGGCTCAGCTTGGGATTTGTCAGCTCACTGGGGCTTTTGCTAGAAGGCAGAGCTATGATGCCCACAGGAATGTTGACAGATTCATCAATTTTTACTTACGGACTAAGGTGACGGTCCAGTAGGAACAAGTGATTTACAATACTTCTGCCTTGGGGTTTCAGTTTCTGTAAGACTGAAAGGAAAATAGCTGGCAAGAAGCATTTTCTGACCTCTCACATTAACCTACAGTTAACTTTGTTAGCTTTTCATTCCACTAGGTGAGTGGTTGGTTTGGTGTAAGCATCAGAACTTTGAATTTAGATTATTTTCAA